GTTTTGACCTCAAACGGTTTTCTTATATGAACCAAACCGTTTTTATCACCGGGTACCGGTCCGACCGGTTCAACCGGCCGGTCCGGTCCGGTTTTAAAAACCTTGGTCACAAGGATCATTGGAAAACGACGCCCCATCGAAGCCGAGCTCTTGCGCCTCGAATAATTGACCGTGCTTCTTGGCGAGGAGAGGGGATTTGGGGACGAAGTGGGGAAGAAGATGATGGAAGCTAGCAAACGAAGTAAAACCCTAGATCCCCAAATCCCCAATTTTATTTCCCTAAACAATTTAAGGGATAAGAGTAATTTGTTTGATTGATGATTTTGGGTATTTGATCGTGGCACCTCCAACTCAGCATCCATCTCAAAAAAAAGGCCACGTCAGATGCAGGGCTTATGAGGACCGTTAAAAGCTAACAGAAGATGATGCTGGCGTTAACAGAGGGGGTGATTTGCCACTGCAGGTGAGTTGAGGGGGTGATCTGTGCATAAAGTGGTTGAGGGGGTGATTTGCCACCAATAGGTGAGTTAAGGGGGTGATCTGCATGTTTTGCCAAAAATAAAACTCCTCTTCCAAAGATTGTGACGGGCCTTATCTTACCTTCGACCGGTCGAGCCGGTAGAAAAGATTGTGACCGGTGACAGGCGGTATCCTTGTCCTTGGTTAAAAATTGACCGCGGTTGAATGATATTTACTCGCAGTTTTAACGATCCTTCGGTTAAGTCCGGATTCCTATAGAGAGAGAAAAAGGAACGCAGAACCAAAAAGCAAGAGAGAGACTCGTCAGCTCTGCTGCAATTGCTTTTTCGACAGAACTCTGGCAATGCATGTGCTAGTGTAGTGTCCTCTGGTTACCGCGCCCTCATTGAGAGAGTTTGTCTTTTCCGGTTTTACCTCCCTCGATGCAGGAGGGAGGGGTCTTCGAAACTTCACCAAATTGGAAGCAGGGGAACGAAGATGATTTTGGTCATGACAGGGGCAAATTCGTCCTTGCAACAGAAAATTTTAACTTCTCTGTAGTTTTATTATCATTTTCCTGTATCAGTAACAATTGGGCCCGCAGTTGGCCTCACTGCATTGTTTTTGCCCTTACCCAATAATTCAACACCTACCCGTGCGCACGATCACCCTATCCTATTGCTCTGCCTTTTTTTGTTTCTTTTTTCTAAATAAAAATATTATTATAATAATCAAGGTAGTTTCAAGAAAATAGTAATAAAATTTTCTGACGGGTTACAAACGTAATTCCAGAATAGTCCTAAAATTCTAAATTAGGAACTCGTAAAGTCAAGTTTGCCACTCTTTCTAACTCAAATTTGCAAAACTGTATTGTTTTTTTAATTATTTCTTTTATCTTAAAATAATAAATTTTTTTAGTTAAAATATGTCTCAAAATAATTATTATTTTAAAACAAATTAAAAAAAGCAAGTAAATATTTTTTTATTAAATGATTATTTTTT